TTGAGTCGCTTCGCAAAAACACTCAAGGTTGTGGTAAGCCAATCCAAGTTTACGAAACAGAATTGGTCGAACCTTCAATTGGGCATTGGGTTTTCCCTCTTTTTGAGGCAGAGCAACAAAGGCTTCAGCTGTTCAGTGCGAAATCAACCCCAACATCCATTTCAACCAGGAAGGCTTTGCCATTTGACGATGAAGTCCCAGATCCTGTCCCTAGGAGAAAACGAACCTATGTGACGTTGGAGAGGGCCATCAAATTTGGTAGAACCCCGGGTTGCAAAGGGTGTGAAAGGATCTCGGAAGGAGTACCGCACTCCATGTCACGACAGATTCCGTGTTCTCCTCGAGGATGAGAGGCTGGCACAGGAGGCCAAGGCTAAGGCCCGGGAAGAGGCGGCAGCAAGGGGGATACCGATGCTTCCGACTCCTGCTTCGCGGGGTACACCGGTACCTCGTACTCCTGGATCTGGCCCAGCACCTTCGACACCAGTTCCGCCCACTCCAGCAGCAGTCATCACGCTAACCCAAAGGACCAGTGAAGCAACCGATGCTCCTGGTACCACCGCCGTCGACTCTCGTCACAACTGTTCTTTTCAAGACTCTGAAAACAAAGGGCCAAGATCAGACGTCAAGGGGGCAAAGTCTTTGGTTGAGGGCAACTCCGAAACCAAGGATTATTGGGAGTTTGATGAAGCAAGGCACGCATGGGTACTAGTGCATTTAAGACCTAGGAAAAGGCTATTTGCACCAGTGGGTAAGGATTGTCCTTTCGACTCCAACGAGGTTGAACCGGAACGCATCACCGAGTGGAGATGCAAGGGGAAGGTTTCCGTGCATAGGGACAACTGGCAAGAGACTCCGTATCAAAGGATTTCATCCAAAAGTTGGTTTGGTAAGACGTGGTTCTTTCCGAAAGGACGTGTGTCGCCAGATCAAGCGCAATTGTGTGCAGCCGCAGCCAACCCTTCAGACGGTAATCTCAGAGCTATGCAAAGGTTCATCGAGCAAGCCGGTGACAGCCAAGCACGAACTAGGAAGGCCAGAGAAATCCTTGAACTCACTAAGGACTTGGTCAAGCCTGCGCGTGAAGACCGCAAAGGTCGATCGGCGAATCCGACACTCTTTGAGTTTTGTTGCGATGAGAACTCAACGTTGGGTCGGATCAACGAAGAAAGAGGAATCAACCATTTCCGACTCACAACAAAGAACTCTGACATGTCAAGCCAGTGGGAAAATGACAGTCTTTTGAAGGTCATAGAACAATTTCCCGGGTGTGATTTGTGGGGATCGATTCCTTGCGGCCCCTGGTCGCAATGGCAGAATGTAAATCTCCATCAATACGGAAAACCGTTTGCTAAGAAACTCAAGAAAATGCGCAAGCATTCTAGGAAAATTTTAGCAAACTACATTCGTTGTGCAGACAAAGTCCTCAGTCAAGGGGGCCACGTTGCCTTCGAGTGGCCAAAGACATGTGCCGGATGGGACTTGCCAGAGCTGATCAGGTTTGTCAAGAGGCATGACTTGTTCGTGGCGGAACCTCAACGTTGTGCATTTGGACTCCATGACCAAGAAGGTAAATGTCACCTCAAGACGTGGAGAGTTGTAACCTCTTCATGGAGGTTGGCTAAAAACCTAGACAGTGCCAAGTGCCAACATCCGCGTGACTATAAGCATTCACCTCTTGCAGGCAGTAAGACACCTAGAAGTGCCTTTTACCCGATGCCTATGGCAAGGTGCATTTCTCAGTCCTTATATCCCTGGATTGACGCACCGCCTGCAATGCCTGTGCAAGTGTCAGCTGGGCCAAACTCCGTGCAAGAGTTCCTGTGTGGCGACCACGCCCCAGAGGACGAGGCAGGTCATCAGGAGCTGCCAGGAGTAGAACATGTGTTTGCTGGCATCCACAAGTTGTTGGAGAGAAAAGAATGGGGTAACTTTCCTGGAGCGCAAGACGCCATTGACAATGAAGTGAATGGGCTAGTAGCTAACGGAACCTGGACTTTCGATGAGGTAATCTCAAAAGAGGACCTTTTGGCAAGATGTAAAAGGAACAAGGAGCATATCAACATTGCTTCCCTAATGACCATCTTGTCGATAAAGCATTGGGAAACCCCAGAACTCCGTAAACTCAAAGCCAGGATAGTTTTCCGAGGGGATCACATCCTCACGGAAGACAACAATCTTGCGGTGCTCCAAGAAGCAAAAGTCACTCCGACCGGAATGACCGGTGTCAACATCAATTTAGCATACGGCGCCATCAAGGGTCACGAAACTCGTCAATCAGACGTAGTAAAAGCCTACACCCAAGCGTACCTTGGGACAAAGGTGCCCACATGGGTGATCTTGCCTTGGGAATTGACTTTTCCTGAATACCGGCACTTCAAACAGCCGTGTGTGAGGTTGGTCAGGAGCCTTTATGGCCATCCCGAATCAGGATACCATTGGGATCAAAGGCTAAGGGAAGTGATGAAACTTTTGGAAGGTCAACATGTTGATGAATTTCCATCTTCATTTTGGTTTCCACAAAGGAAGCTTCTTGTAACTTGCTACGTCGACGACATTCTGTGCTCAGGGCCGTCGTCAGAACAAAACAAGTTTTGGCAGGAGATCGAAAAGCATTTGGAGATCGAACCTCCAACTCAAGTTGAACGTGTTCTGGGCAGACAGCATAAATTCGATCGGACCAATGGATCGACCAAGGTTTCGCTCGAAATGTTCGACTTCATCGAGAACGCATGTCAGTGTATGAGGACTTGGCTCAATGTAAGTTGAGCACAGCTAAAAGTCCTTTCTGCCCAGAAGGTAGCCTTACAACCGCTGACTTTGAAAGTAAAGGGGTTTTGGCAACTTCTGCATGCAAAATCTTGATGAAAATCCTCTGGTGCGCTAGGCTAAGCCGACCCGACCTAATGAAAGGGATAGGGGATTTGACACGTAGGATTACCACTTGGAGTCGAGCAGATGATAAACGACTCCATAGGCTAATGTGCTACCTGTATGGGTCAAAAGGGTACACTTTACAAGGACATATAGGCGACCCGCCAGAACTGCTCAAGCTGTGCTTGTACACAGATGCGGACCACTGTAGTGGCATCGAACACACAAAAAGCACGAGTGGCATGTTCTTGTCCGTTGAGGGCCCTAACACCTTGTGGCCAATCGCGTGGGGCAGTAAACGCCAAACCGCGACTGCCAGGAGCACAACAGCAGCAGAGATGATCTCACTAGGATCAGGCCTTTTCGGCGAAGCATTGCCAGCACAAGGCTTCCTGGAATTGATCTTGGACCGTCAGGTCACGCTAGAGTGCTTTCAGGATAACTCAGCTGTAATCCAGATCGTGGCTGCAGGTTATAGCCCCAAATTGCGACACCTCACGAAGACGGAGAAGATCGAACTAGGTTCAGCTTATGAGGTCTTCGAAGATCCAAGTTGCAGACTCCTGTACATAGCAACGGACAAGCAGAGAGCAGATGTGTTTACAAAACCATTGCCGGTGTGCAAGTGGGACCATGCACTAGACCTACTTAACATGGCGTCCTTAAGCTCAACTTGCAAAGTGCCATCTCGTGAAGCGGAAACGCTCCGAGACCCGTAGGCGTAGGCCAGATAGTTAAATAACTAAACTGGAGTCTGCGTAGGACACTTTCCGAGTGTGAGAAGGGGGAGAAGAATGCCCCCTGCTGGAATCCACATTTTTCTGATGGTAGGTGGTGCATGCATGTCTAATTCAACCTTGCCCCCGGAATTCATGTTTGCTTGAACTTCCCTTTGAATCAGGTTTCCAGGGTTGACACTGATAACAAACATTCAGTTCGCCTTGGATGACTTGTACATGTGGCTCAAGATAAAAGGAGGGTCGCGCGAGTGAAGCTTTCTGTGCCGCCATTGCACTTTTGGTTACACTCTTCACTTCGTTTGTCTTGATTTGTATTTCGTCTTATTTAGGGTGTATTTAGGGTTGGTTTAGGGTTGGTTTAGGTTTAGAGGTGTGCGGTTTAGGGTTTGGTTTAGGGTTTGGTTTAGGGTGTATTTAGGGTTGGTTTAGGGCAAGTTTGGGGTTGGTTTAGGTTTAGGGAAAATTGCTTAGGGATTGGAGAAGGGTGTATTTGTGGTTAGTTTAGGGTTGGTTTAGGGTTAGTTTAGGGTTGGTTTGTGTTGTTTTAGGGTTGGTTTAGGTTTAGAGGTCTACGGTTTAGGGTTTGGTTTAGGGTGTATTTAGGGTTGGTTTAGGGTGAGTTTAGGGTTGGTTTATGGTTGGTTGCGGGTTGGCTTGTCCTGGGGGTGGGGGTGCCGGGGTGTCGGGGTGCGAGTTCAGAACCCATACCATTTGGGGGGGGGGTAGCAACACGGAACACGGACCATATATATATATAGTTGAAGTCAGGACTTGCATGGGTGTGTCTTTGTTTAGACTTGGTAAGTTCTATGCGTCTAGTAGGATGTCGATCCCCGCATCGCTGGCCAGAGCATCAAAACTAGACGCGCCCACATGAGGTACAGTCTTTCGGAGCACAGTGCTCTAGGCAAGCCACCCATCTGGGGGGGGGCAGACATACAATGAGGCAACCCGCTAGGGTGGCTTGGATTGGTTGTTTGGAGATTTGAGCCTCCGGTTCTTGTAAAGGAGTCTCACCAGTTGCAGGGAAGCTGATATAAATATTGTAACATATGCACGTTCATTTTACATGGTTGAGATTGGCCATTTTGTATGCCACACCTTGATGTTGGTCAGCTGCAGAAACAGATAGGAGTTTTGGAGCGGTAGGCGCATTGATTCACCGGAGCCCAAAACTCTATGGAGGACCGCTTCGGATCCATATAGGTGTCCAAATATAGAGGACCTGACTCGGTCAAGAGGGAAGCCACAAGGGAACCAAATTCTGTTTTTCTCGTCGGGCCCGATTGTTGGACCACCTATGTGAGCTGACTCACCCCAAACGCCCAGTAGCGCAGGGCTGTGACCCCAAAGGCCCAACTTGCCGCTTGAATGCCTGACGCCAAGGCCAAGTTTACCCACAATGGTGTGACGTTCCAGGCCACAAAGAACGGCCGGGATCCCGGGTTTTGCCTTGGCAGAGGGAGCGGGTTGAAGAAGGTTGAAGGGGGTTGAATGGGGGCTTTGCTTTCTTTAGCGTCTTATCTCTGTCTTGCTACATGGGGTGCTTTAGGTTTCGCTTTTGCTTTGCTTTGAACCATCACCTCTGGGGCGACTCCAAACAAAACTTCCCTCTTGGCGGGTTGATGGTTGAAGGAGGTATGCAAGGAGGCCTCTTTCGGTATGGGGTGCGGTACGTGCAACCGAAAGTTAGTTGGACCAAAAACATCCAAGGACCGCCCGCCAAGTGGATCAAGTGAACCACACTTGATTTGATCTTGTTGTCTTGATTTTGTCCGGAGTTGCTAATCAAAAAGGGTGCCAGGAACCCCAATTTGAATGTTCTAATGACTGTGTTAAGTTGGTTCATGAATTTCAGAAAGGCTGCGAGTGCTTCTGGTTGTGGGGCGGCTGTTATTGAAACATTACTTTTTTTTGCTTGCTTGCTTGCTTGCTTGTTTGCTTGCTTGTTTGCTTGCTTGTTTGCTTGCTTGCTGGCTGGCTGGCTGGCTCGCTCGCTCGCCCTCTCGCTCGCTGGCTCGCTGGCTCGCTGGCTCGCCGGCTCGCTTGCTCTTGCTTGCTTGTTGGCGTGTCTGTCTGTTTGTGTCTATTTGTGCCTGTCTGTCCTTGTCTGTGTCTGTCTGTGTCTGTCCTTGTCTGTGTCTGTCTGTGTCTGTCCCTGTCTGCCTGTCTGCCTGTCTGCCTGTCTGCCTGTCTGTCTGTCAGTGCCTGTCTGCGTTTGTCTGCTGTATGTGTCTCTGTCTCTGTCTCTCTCTGTCTCTGTCTGTCTCTGCCCCTGCCTCTGCCTCTGTCTCTGCCTCTGTCTCTGCCTCTGTCTCTGTCTCTGTCTCTGTCATCTCTGTTGTCTCTGTCTCTGTCTCTGTCTCCGTCTCCGTCTTTGTCTCTGTCTCTGTCTCTGTCTTTGTCTGTCTCTCTGCGATCCAGTTGCCTCCCCCAAACCATCTACATCTACCAAGCCCCCCTACTTCTCTTTCAGTTGACGTTCCCTTGCCTCAGGGTTCCCTTCATGCTTCCCCCCAACCAAGGTATTGGCAACCAACTGGTGTGGGTTTGTCCCATGACCGTCGTGCCGTTTGAAGATGGTTTAGACCGGACACCAACAGAACGCCCACCACCTGGATGGGATCCCCTTGGAACCACCTAAAGTTGATCTTCAAGAACACCCAAAAGGTGAACAAGAAGCATCTGGTACAGAGAAGATACTACCAAGGACGTCAACGCACGAAAGCCAAAGGAGCCAAAAGCTGAAGAAACCCGAAGAAAGCCAAGTGAAAAGAGCGCCAGAAGCAAAAATCTCGGACTCGCTGACTCGGCCGTTCCGAGGCTGTGGCTCGCAAGCGGCGGCCATGGTCATCGCGCGGGCCTGCTACGTGAAGCTCGCGGAGGGCGCAGACCGGGAGGAGGCGCGGGTGGGGCCCCGCCTCACAAAAAGCAGAAATACATAGAAGTACTCTGCCTTAAGCAGAAATACTAAATACTATACCCGGCATTTTGAAGGTCAAGAGTTCACAAGTGTCATATGCTGCCGGTTTGAATGGGCGACGAGAAGGCAAGGGCTCGCTCCGGTGAGGTGATCTTATGGCTTACCGAGCTTTGATTGTGACAAAGGATGGCACTGGCTTCAGTCGGATTAAAATTACTTGCTGGAAACTTACTTTTATCGCCACAACAGCCATTTATCAATTGCGATGGGAGATGAGGGGGGGCAACAAAGGAGCAGAGCCCCTGCCAGGTCCTCCAATTCCGGGACGCGAGCATGCAGCAGCGGCCCTGCCTGCTTGGCGTCGTCGTTTCGGCTTGCGGATACCTGGGCTTTTCAAATGTAATCCTAGGTTGTGGTTTGGGCTACGACAAGCACTTCCTGGTATGGGGTTCATGGATTGGGACAAGCCAATCCTCCTTTGTGACATGTCAAGATCACCCCATTCAGCTTGGACAAAAACATGGTTGCGATTGGGAGACCACAGGTTTGACCCTTTTACCCAATGGCCCAGGGTCACACGTGGGATCAGGTAATTGTCGTGTCTTGGGAGCGCATCCTCTCATGATGAGGTCTCAAATCTTTGCCAATGCATAGTTTACAAACATCCTGTCTGTTTTGCGAGCAAACAGGGAAACAATGATAGCCGATTGTGGGACTTTGGCCTTGAACCAGTCACTGTGTCGGCATCAGCCCCAACAAGCACAAAACACATTGATCCAAGTAGATTTGCCGCTGGCCAGCCGACTAGAATACCTGGCAAGAATCCTAGTTGACAATCCCTGAACATAAAGGGAGTGACGTAAATCGCTCACCGGCGACAAGTTGAATCCATTTCAATGATCTCAATCGCCATTGGAAGGTCAAAGCCTTGACATTTCGTGGCCTTTGAGCGATCCCCCAAGCCGCTCCTCCCAAGTGAGCTGTTTCGTGGGTGAGAAATTCGGGAGACGATCATTGCCTAGGCAAGAAGCTCAAAATAGTCGCTGGCTGCTTGACATTGCCTTTTTTGTCGCGGGGTGGCATTGGTTGCTCAGCAGGGGAGAGGTCATGATTTGATGGGCGGCGCCCGAAACCCCTCCTGGTTTAGGGATCATGGAAAAAGCCGGCAAGGTGCCAGAGCCAAATGTCAAGAGTTGTTTGGGCGCTGCTCAAGTGCTCGTGTTGTCGTGTCATTTAATTTTGGGTGTCAGGTTGAGCCCAGGGAAGATGATGAACTGAACCAGTTGACCATGGCTGGGCATGGCTAACTTATGGCTTTGCCAGGGCTAAGGAGATTCACAGGAGCGCCTCTGAGGCGCCTGGGGTTATCGAGTGTGGCCGCCCGACATTTGGAATGGAAGACATCGAAACAGCGAATCTAAAATGGAAGCCAAGTAAATGCAGTTGCGTGGGAACATGGAGCAGAAATCCCCATTCAAACGGCCCCTGATGAAAATGTCGTATTGAGCTGACAAACCGAGGGTTGACGAGTTTAAGGCTGATGGCCTGCTAGCATTTGTTTTGTGGATTAGGTAACTGTTGCAAAAACATATACCGACTTGCAAGAGAAGTTGATAACTTACAGAAACCTGCCCCTGTCAAGAACGCCCCGGTCCGCGTGATTTCATGTTGCTGCAAAGCGGTTGGTTGGGGCCCTGATCTTTTGAGCCAAACTCAGCCGTGTATCGACTGCTTGATCAGTATCAGCAGAGCGGACATGGATTCGTAAGACCTGCACATTGCAGCGACCTCGCCAAGTAAGACGACCATCCCAGGGCGAAAGGTGTTCGATTCAAGTCTGTATGTCAGCCGCTGTATCATAGACAAGTTCTGAACACGTCTCAGATCCAGACAACTCGGATGAGTTGAATGCAGCCTTTGCAGAAAGCTCACTGGCCCACTGGATGATCTTTGCTGTCCGATGTACTGTCCCCCTTGGATCGTGGGCAATGATCGCCTTCACCCAGCCAATCGTGCGCTTTCCGCTGGAAGCGTTCCCATTTATTTCTGATATTTTTGGCCCATGCGTGCCCTTTCTGGAAGTGTTCATCTATTTCTTGTAGTTTTTAAGCCCTTTTGCGACAGGGTTTGCCAGATGACCCCTTTTCGGTTGGAATGGGAGGCCAAGTCCATCCCTTTCCCAGGTGCCGCCGGCGCCTTCCGGCGAGGAAGGCAAAGGGGTTAGGGGAGCGGTTGCGGGGAGCGGTGCGCGCTTTGGTCCTCTGAACCTCTTGGAACCTCTTGGAACCTCTTGGAACCTCTTGGAACCTCTTGGAACCTCTTGGAACCTCTTGGAACCTCTTGGAACCTCTTGGAACCTCTTGGAACCTCTTGGAACCTCTTGGAACCTCTTGGAACGTGATGCTTCCCTCAAAAGGTTTCTTATGTGAGCGCCCAAAGCATCTATTGGCCATTGTAGAAGGGGTTGCAATATCTGGTCGAACAGGGTTTAAATACGGGCTGTATGAACTTGTACTAGCCTACTAATAGTAGATCGCATAGTCAATGGGTTTCTGTGCGCGCGCTGCTCATATGAGTTTGTTGGTACGGTGTATGGAAGATACAATACAAGTTTCATGGCGGAATTCCGCCGTCCACAACACCTCTCAACATAGGCATTGGTTTAGGGTAAGCTGTGTTTCGTGTTGGTTTAGGGTTGGTTTGGGGTCGCTCTCAGGCGGCGGGGGGGGGGGGGGGATGTTTTTGACAGGCAGCTCTAAACTCGTGGCACAATTTGCCCGTTAACCAGGGCTTCAAACTACAGACATTGTTCCAGCAGCTGTGGCTGCGAAAAACGGTGGGGAAGTCGGTAAAACTGCTTGGCAGACTGCCCCGGTGAACAGGCTACTTATCTGCCCACGCCAACAGTTTTTTAGCGAGACATCCTTGCCGGCCTTTGTATCATGGTTGTACTGGCTCTTTTGCTGAGTAGCCCCAGGCGAGCGTGGAGAGGTTGATGGTGCCGGACCGCCTTCGAAGCAGGTGCGCATGCTTGGTTTTGTGTGTGTGTGTGTGGGTTGGGTTTCGGCTTGGATTTGATTTGGTCCTGGGTTTGGATTTGGGCGGGTGGGAGAGGTGAGTGGACGGGTTTTGAGCTGGCAATCAAGAGCATTGGAGGGAAGGCTTCAACCCTGGTTTATGGCTAAGAGTTTGATATGAGTGGTGTCGTGACTTTGCCGTGCTGTGACCTCCATGTGTAATGAGGGATGTGATCACCGCTACTTCCTTAGAATGTCTCTCAACAATTTGAATATTTTGTTGGAAATGAACGAGTCCTAGGGGGGAGCATGGGGTTTGCACATTGGTCCTTGAAATGGCATACTGTATGCTCCTTTGCCCAACACAACTTCAACATTGCAATGGTTCGCACAACAAAAGCCCGTTCAGACGATTATCATTTTTGCAATTTGCAATCGGTACAAGTAGGCGCAACTTGCAACTTCACTTTGCAGGGCTGGATAAGGCTTGAGAATAGATGGGACCAAAGCGGCAAATCAGTCTGGTAGTCTTTGCCAGCAAAATCCGTCTTTTTTCCCAAAGGACACCTAAACCAAGAAACCAATGACGGGATACCCTATATCAGTTTGTTAAAGTGTGGTCCCCCGGCAGGACAGCATGATTGTATGGAGGCTTGTGTACGCCCAGAGCGCAAGAAGTTCACTGGGATCACTTGAGGCGCACCCAGAAGTAAAGTAGTGGGCCGCCGGGTGCTGGGTTTTATTTATGGCTCACTTGCATCATTCTGGTCAAACTTTTGCCGCCTCACCAAGGGGCGACCGATTTCGCCCATGATGGTTTCCTTTTTCCTGGTTCGTGTCTGATTCAAGTTGATGAACAGTTTTGAATTCACACGCAACAGATTTGCTCCGAGCGTTGAAGAGATGCCAAACCTCAATGCTGGACAATTGCACAAACATTGTAAAGTCTTTGGCGTCGTTTCTTTTCAGGATCCATTCTGCTACCCTTGTGCCCGATCACTTGGGTGACTTGCTGGGGCACAGTCGTTTTTCTCCAAGGCTCGGACGGAAGCAACCGGAGACGATGCAACCTCCCTCAGCACCTCGGGCTGAGAGGTGTTTGGGACTTGTGAAGGGAAAGCAAACCACACCAGGCCCCAATTTGGCAATGGCAGTCAGAACACATGCCTAGGCAAAAAGGGTGCCGTACAAAAGATGTGGGTGCTCTTTG